CCTTGTAGCAATATAAGCCTCTGTTTGTAATAAACGAGGTGTTCTCCTCATCTGCAGGAAACTGGAGATTTGGTTATAGCCTGAATATGCATTCATGAAACTAAACAGCTCATAGCCTGAAGTGGAATCTACTGACTGGTCTATTCTTTGAAGTGGAAAGTTGTCCTTAGGGCATGCTCAATTGTACTTCTTCACTTAAAAGGGGTTTGATACCCACTTTGGATAGGTGGCCTTTCTGCTGAAATCATTATTAATCAACTTATCAATCTCTTCATTTAAGGTTTCATAACTTTCAGAGTTGGGTGATCTTTGTTTTTGTCTATGATGGGTATGTTTTAGATCAATATTCAAATGGTGGCAACTTACCTTTAGATCGATGCCCATCATATCCCCATGCCTCTATGCAAAAACGTTCAAGTTCTTACACAAAAAGCTTTTGCACTCTTCTTTGACTTCGAACGATAGATCTGTCCCCACTTGTAAGGCTTTGGTGGAGTCTTGAGGGTCCACGGGGAAGCTTTCCAGTTCTTCCATGGGAGCCGTTTGTAGCTCAGACTCAATGACGTGTGTGTCTAACTTATCAAAACCAACCCCTTCCGTTCTACAGGCTCTCCTGCCATTTCGATGTATTTCTCTTGTTTAGGGGTGTGGCCTTCTTCAGGGGTGCCGAGCTTTTCAATATCTAATAATATCATGTTAACACCAAGAGGTTTAGCTTTCCTTAAAGAGTTAAGATAATATTTGCTTGACCCCAGCTAATCACCTTAGACCCTGGCAATTCCAAATGAAATTTCATGCACAGGTGGTGAATGGAGGTAACTGTCCATAACTCCTTCAAGGCAAGTCTACCCAACACTCTATGATAAGCGGATCGAGAATTTCATGAAGTGGTAGGCTACCCAAGAGGATACTCCGATTCCAACAACCAGAGCGATTCTATCCCTTGGAATGATGCTATCATCAGTAAACTCGACTCTAGCGCACTCTCGACATTAAATAGAGTTAAAGCTCTTTCTTTATGAAGTGAAGTAGCAACAACTGCTATTTGGAGTTTGGACCTTCTTAAAAGTGTACTCAACTATCTCCCTTGGGAAGCTAGCAACTTACACGGAAGTTGATGAACCTACTTTAAGGTTGAATGACACGAGGATTTATTCCAACTTGAGGCCCAACTGTCCTGCGTCATATGCATGATTTCTTGTCTGGTTTACTGGTATCTCCACAGGACAATCTTGATGACATACAAACACAAAACACATACGGTAGATTCTGATGGAAAAATCTCCTCGAATGCTGATGTGAATTTCTACATAGATGATGTAAGTGTTTGCTAATGTTTGTCCTGCCTTGGCTTCTTTGTTCTCATGGAATTTTTTTCTAGTACTTTCCAGTTGAGATTTATACAATGTACCCTTGCAATTTTCTGGTTCTTATTTGAGCATTACTGATACGTTTAATCTCGTGTCAGCATTGAAAACTTAGATTGAAGGTACTCGAGCTCATTATTTTACCTGATCTACCAATTTGAATATAGAGTTATCCCATATTAGAATCTTTTCTGTGATCTCAACATTATTTCCCTACCACTTCTTTCCCTGCACAATTTAAACTGGAGTAGAACCGTGTGCGCGGGCGCGCCCGCTCGTGTCCGAGTTTTGGGATTTAAAGAGTACTTTATCTCACGTGCTAAAGTATCCAATCATTTTTTTTTTTTTTATCAGGACATGAAAAACTGTTATGGGGATTGCTTTTTGCGTCAAAATGTCAAGGTATGCTTGTTGAATGGTTATTCGATCAAATCTAACATTTTCCCATTCGTCCCAAACCCCGACTCTGAATTTTTTTGAAGAAAGGGTTGTCGTGGAGTGTGCCGAGTCGAGTTTATCGAGTCATTTTTCCCCTGGTGTCACGTATTTAATGTCGTAGATTTGAATATTTTTGAGCTTCTGTATTTGTACTTCTTGTTTCGAGTAACCACACAGATTAAACCAGCTCTGGATGACGTTAGTAACAATTTGTTTTCACCTATTTGGTTTTTTAGCTACTCAATACATATTTGTTATACCGGACTCATCATGATTAGTGAAAATCTAAGAAGAGTGATTGTAATAAGATTTATAACGTAGTTTTCAGTCAAACATGCCCGTATGAATAAGGAATTATGCTCTTTGTACACTCCTTGTGTATATGGAGTTTGACACTTCTTTGCAAATTCAAAAATGGAGTGACAGGAAAGTGTGTTGTACTTTCAAACTGGTCAATCATGCTGCAATATGTGATACAATGTCAAACTTGATGTCAAAAATAATGTACTTGTAACATGATTGATGAATAAATAGGGTTAGGTAAAACACTTTACATTGTATAAATAAGATAAAAGTTACCCTAGCGTATGGTGTTGATAGTACTCCAACTATTTTTATTTGGTCCGTATTAAATTAACCCATCCAATGAGGTGGGTCCGTGTATTATTTCTTGTAATTGAAGTGATGAATGGTATGGAAAACATTGTATGAATTTTTAAAAAATCACTTAGAAGTAAATAATTTAGTTATAAGATAACAAAACCTATAATTAGAAAAATTACTTTAACTAATATATCGTTTATAAGACAAATTTAAAACAAAAAAAAGTTGCATATAAATAAAACATACAACTTTATAACTAAAAAAGTTCACAAATAAGGAAAAAAATTACTTATAACTTGAAATTTACTTTTAAGTACAAAGTCACTTACAAAATGGAAGTTCACCAATATGTAAAAAGTTACTTATAAGTAAAAAAAAAAATACTACTCTTAACCAAAAAGTTCATTTATGAATACAAAAATACACTTTTATGTAAAAAATAAAAATAAAACAAAATATTGTTTACTAGTATTAAATTCTACTTTTAACTAAAAATTATTTATAAGTACAAAAGTTACTTATAGTTAAAATAATTTACTCATAGATATAAGTAAAAAATTGTCATATAAGCTAGACAAAATCTTTTTAATTAAGAAAAAATATTTATATTATCTACAAGTAAATCCGAAGCGGAAAAAAAAACCTATAAGAAAATAATATACAACACCAAATGTCATATTAGAACAATCCATTAAAATTCAGACCATTAAAGAGCAAAAAGCGAACCGTTGCTGATTTTTTAATTTAACATAATCTGACAACATTGAAGTACCAAGTCAGGCCATAAGACTCCAAATTCCCAATTGACCCTCATTAATAATTTGAGGTGAGAGAAAGGTGTTAAATTTGCACATGGAGGATAATATGGTAATTCATTTCCAATTTGTGTAGATACCGTGAAAGACTAACATGTCAGTGGACCCTTCCAATTTGATCCAAAAATTGATTTTTGATTGCCAAAAATACTCCCAGACATACTCTTAATATGCTGTCTTCTAACTTATGTTCTTCTTGCGGCATTTGGGCTAAATGACTTTGAAATCATGACTGTCAATTCATTCACTAAACTATTTGTTCATTTATAACCTATATTATTTTATCAATAGATGCAAACTTCAAAAAAAGAAAAAACGACTAAACTATAAGCTTGAAATGGATGTGTAGAAAGAAGAGGAAGATTGATCTGAAAATAACGATCCTAAAAGTTGGGAATAGGATCATAATTATATTTAAGAAAGAGGGAGGGTTTGATATTTGTTGTGTTCTTAAAAAAAAAAAAAATTTAGATATAATAATAACCCTAATAAAGAACTTTGGATTGCCCTAGAAAAGTACATTACAGAGGCACTTTTCGAATTACTTGAAAAATTATAGCGTAGAGCATAGTGTGTTTGATACGTAATAATGATGGATCAAACCTGACAATAAAATAAGCAAGTTATTAATTTCTTTTTTCTTCTTTACATAGTATTGATCAATGGTGATTGCACTCATTGTCGTCATTGACCCTAGTGTCACAGCTTTCGAGTGACCATTTGGATACAAAAACTTGTCCGGGTGAATTTAATGATTTAAGATCTTTATAATTCTTGAAGAATGAGGAACAAAACAATTGATCAAGAAACATCTAACAACGGGCTTAACACACTTGGGAATCGAGATACTTTGACAATAGAAGTAAGCTTTAGAACCAGGTCGACAAGCAATAACACTAGATGATGCACGGAGATTGTGGTAGTCGTGGTGGTGGAGAGGAGCAACACAGTGCAATAATGTTATAATAAAGCATAATCCTACACAAACGCTTGACCAAGAGAACTGTGTTTCAAGGAGCCTCCAGCAAGTTTAAGAATCTAAGAGATCAGGGCTAAAAGCAACAAGATTTCGACTCTATTTATAAATATGAGTCGTAATAGAGTACAAATAGATCAACCATGCGAACTAATTTATGAAATACTGAAGAGGAAATGTTGGGGGGGGGGGGGGGGGGGGGGGNGGGGGGGGGGGGGGGGGGGGGGGGGGGGGGGGGGGGGGGGGGGGGGGGGGGGGGGGGGGGGGGGGGGGGGGGGGGGGGGGGGGGATATTAGCTCGGAGTCTATGGCAAGAACGCTGCAGTGTCATTCATCAGCAGTCTCAAGAAAATAAAGTTTATGACACGATCGAATTTAGGAGTCAAAGAAGCAAAAAATACATTGGTTTTCACCTAGTATATTATGGGTATTCGAGTACCTACCTGAACCCTGAACCTGTTAAACTTCCAACAGCATACGAAAGCAACATTCAAACGCCCATTAACAGAGAGAGAGAGAGATCACACCCTAAAGCATCAATTATCAATTTTCTGGTATAAATACTTGAGAAAAATAAAAAAGTACAATATGTGTCCAATAATAGAAAGCTTTTTGACAACAGAGCAGGAAAAGAGCCTATAAATAATTGATTAAACTAAATCCATATGTTTCGACAAAAGAATTCATAAGAAATCCATATTTTTCAACATCAATTGTGTAAATCAATCAAATTCATATAATTGATACAACAATACAAATATACAACCTCTTAGTTTTACAGCATGAAACTGTATATGCCTACCTACCTGCAACTCTTCAACAGATAGGAAGAGGGGCTGGAAAAACTAATGTTGCTTGAGAAGTTTCCAGTTTCCTTTTTGGGTGTCCCACATTCGCTAAAATCAAGTATTCGCCTCTCCGTCTATATAGATTTCACAAAAAATAATTTAAATGAAATGCTTGAAATGACTGCAAGCAAATAAATTTGAACAAAAAGTTGCAGATATTTCAGCCAAAATAAAAAAATCTGCACAAAATACTTAGACGTGTCAATAAGTTCTTTCGAGAGATGAAATGCAAACTATATTTTTGGCCTATGATGCTCGAACTCGGGTATGGGCATCGGGTACGGATACATATCTAAGTGTCGGAACTTTTATTTTCTAAAATGTAGGATACGAGGATATGGTTAAAAAGAGTCCAAATTTAAGATATGGGTACGTCTTTCAAACTTTAATTTTTTTATTAATCCAAAATGTCATTTTGAATCGACCAAAATTAATTATTCACAATAAAGGAAATGGATATTTAATAAAGGGCTAAGACGAGTAAAATAGAATTTTGGAATTTAGTTTCAATTATGGGAATTGCTAAATGTTATATAATTAGAAAATGAAGAATTCGATTGTAATTTGACTTAGTGGAGCATTAAGTAACATCATATGGAACCCATTTTCATTTTATACAAACAAAACACTAACCCACCGATACAAAGACAGAGAGAGAAAAGGGGAAAAAAAGAAGATGAAGTTAAAATCTAGCGCACCGCCTTTCTCCACTTTCTCAGCGACGACGCTAGGTTTATAGAGAGCAAAAGTGGGAAAGAAGAAAAGGGAAAGAAAGGGAAAAGAAAAAAATAAATAAATAAAGAAGAAGAAGAAGAAAGAAGAAGAAGCAAAAACGACGAAGTGTCCGATTGAAATTTGGAGAATCCGACACATATCCCATACCCCTACCCAAACTCATGTCGTGTCGTGTCGTGTCGTGTCCAACACAGATACTCCAACTATTTCGAAGAGTCCAAGCAGTAGAGTTTCAAGCTACAATAGAAAGGGTTATCCACTTTGCACTATGTTCAAAAGATACGTTTGAGACATCTAAAAGAGCATTTTTGCCTACGCTTAAAAAGTTTAATTCATTAAGAAGTAACTTGTTTTAAGTAATTTTAAAATTGATCAAAAATAGAAACAAGTTACTTTATTTGCTAGTAAGCTATGAGTTACTGTCAAAGGAAGTAACTTTTTAACTTAAAAGTGAGAAAAAGTAGCTTATCCAAATATGGTTGAAAACAAAAACTTACTTCAAAGTAACTTTTACTTTTAAGCTAGCGCAGACATGCTTGAATGAATCTTAAAAACTCAAGAAATATAAGTCCTCCAACAGCTTAATGAGTAATAATCGTGATAGGAACCTAGTTTTGCCCAATCTAGAACCGAAGTCATAAAAGTTCATTAAAAATGGCAGTTCAAAATTATATTACCAGAACATTTGAAGTCGAGAGAGAACGGTGTGCTGGACTGCCAATGTTCTCTTTATCTGCTTCCCGGTTTGTAAAGCACTTTCCCTTCATTATAGTCTCAGGAGTTTCATCTCCCAAAATTTCTTTGGCATCTGCAAGTGCAGATGCAGTCTGCTCACCTAACTGCTTCATTAACCCAATGGCATCATAACCTTGGTCCCCCGGGCTCATAAAATAGCCAATGTCCTACAAAAGCTCCAACTATGAGATGTGAAAGAAGTAAAATTTTAATTTCCCCAGAAAATGATCGTGCAAAAACTGAACAAATTATTTGAGCAGCAGAATATCCAATACCTCAATTGTTATATCTGTATCTACACCGGGGCCTGGTAAAAAAGAATTAGCGAACCAAGGGGATTTCCAAGCAGAAGGAGATTCAATATTTATTTTGAAAGGTGTGCCTTCAAATCTAGAAATGATTAAAAAAGAAACAGAAACAAAGAAAATCCATTGGAATCACAAAAGAAAAGATCTTTGCAAATTAATGAACACAAAAGAATAAAACAGAATTGACAAAAGTATGGTGCTGCAGTAACTTACGTGCTTTTGTTATCAATATGTACACCTTTGCTAGAACTTTCATCCTTACTCGCCAAATAATTTGAAGGTTGTAGAGATGAAGTTAGTGCCAATTTAGTCCCATCCTTTTTGGCACACATCCGAGGAGAGCAAAAAACTGACAAACAGGAAATCTCTGGCGAAGATAAAGTAGCTACATGTTTTGAATCAGCATCTAGTCTTTTAGAAAACTTATTTCCAAGAGCCTTAGCACTTAAACCAATTGCTCTGTCACTCCTAATTCCAAAACGATCAGGAGAGAAGAATAGCAAGTCGTTCATATCATGCTCGACAAGGATTCCATTTAGCTCTTTTACCTATCATAAAAGAAAAATAAGACAAATATCAGATTAGAAAGGTGAGGTAACAAATGGAGGAAGACTTTAACTGAGTTGTTTTTCTGTCATTCAGTATTTCAGATAAGAGACATAGGCCTCCTTTCGTAAATTCAAAATCTAAAAACAATAATTGTTGATAAGACTTCTCTACATGTAAATATATATAGAAGCCTATGCATCTAAATGCTTTAGAAAAGAAAACCAACACAGAAGCAAGAATTTCACGAAACAAATAAGTAAACTTTCAAAGTTATAAAATATTAAATGAAAGTTGAGGAACGTAGTATGCTTTAACATTTCTTTTTCTGGTTTATATTCAGAGAAGAAACTACATATTTAGCACTTATTTGTATTTGCTAGAGTTAAAGACCTCCACAATCACGCCCGGTCGCGAAGAAAATTAAAAAGTACTCACGGTTTCCGCTGCATCAGTGCCTCCAGCCTTAATATTGACATCTGTAATAGCATTCGGTTCTTTTACCTTTGTCAAAGCCTCGCTGCTGTTGAACGGTTTCTCTATCATTCCACTTTCTGAAATAGACATGCTTCCATTGGCATCTTGTTTCCCCTTTACAAAGGTAGGATTCAATTTTTCCCTGTCTACACAAGAGGCTTTACAGTTCCTTTTGTCTTCTGGTGATGATACCATTATTGATCCTTTCTGGTCTACACACTCATCAAACATAACCCCCAATCGAGAAAAGTTACTGGTCGAGTTGGAAAATGACTCCTGCTTCAAATCACTTTCAAGCTTCTTTTCATTTCGCTTTTCTGACAAAGGAGACACAAAATCACGGTGTCTTTTCTTCAGTATAGATGGCGTCCCTGTAAAAGTTTTGGCAGCACTTTTCAGAACAGCATCTGGACTATTATCCCTGGATGGTGAGTCCCACAACTTGAATGGAGTCATGGAAGATTTCATCAGCTGGCGGATGCCAAGTGGACTGTACTCTTGCTGCATATCAGCACCAGATTGTATAAGATCACAGCAGAAGAATGGAATATCTAAACTTGGAAAACGAGGAGGCTCATAGAAAAGAACTCCTGAATCCCTGTGTTCATCTGTTACAACCGGATCTTTATCCATGGAAGGACCACTTTGAATGTCATCTGATATTGATGAACTAAAATCATTAACAGGAACTAATTTTGGCATATCTTTCGCCTCTTCTTGTTGCTCTTTCACACTCGTGCCATCAGATCCATCATCACAAGGAAAACAGCCAGACTCGTTAGCATAAACAAAGCCATTGTGCATACTTGGAACAGATTCCCGCTCCGCATTTCCTTGTGAGGAATCATTGAACTGATTTGAATCCATAAGAAAAACTAGTGGACCATCGTTGGGAGGAACTGGGGAAGGTAGACTAGATGACGTTCCCATCATATCAGACCTCATAGAACAGCATGATTGCAAAGCGAAAGTTTCATTTTCAGGGATCTGAAAATTTGAAGACTGGTAATGTAATGAATCTGTAGGCCCATTAATACGATTAATAACAATCTCAGAGGGACAACATCCATCATGCCCAGGCTCGGGGTACATCTTTCTGCAATCTGAATTAACTATTGGATTAGGTGTATCATAACTCACAACCATATTTCCCATGGAGGTAGAAGAACTCGAGCCCATACAAGTTACTGTTTCATGATTATTGTCGCCAATTAAAGCTTGCATGAATAGTCCTGATGATTCTTGAGCCAGATCCGACAAAGATATATCCGGTAACTCATTTGGATTAAGCTGCCAATCTCTTCCTGTAAGAGTCCCCCAATCTAGAGAGAAATCATGTTCAAGAAATTTCGTAGAGCCACCCAGTTCGCAAGGAACTTCGGGCATGGAAAATGTAGTCTCTTGGAAAGTTGGTCGATAATCCTCAGAACATGGCGCTAGCCTGGAGCTTGGATCTATTTCATGACTCAATTCTTCAGTCACTCTGCACACCCCTCTATTCTGTACAACTGTGTTGACCATGTCAATAGAAGATTGAGAAAAACCACCATCTGGACCCTGACTGCATTCAGAAACTTCCTCCCCTTCTACTCCATCTTTGAGAGCACTATCATCTCCACTACTCTGTTGCACCTTCGAAGAAGAAGATGCCGTTGATTGATCAGGATGGCTGACAAGAGGTGGACCTTGGAACTGTGAAAGTAAGCCTGACGCCAAAAACATGTCCAATTTCTTTTTGACAGAACTGTTCCAGTGATTTTTTATTGCATTGTCGGACCTGATAGTCATATATTTATTTCAGAACTTAGCAAGGAAATATTCAACATTCAGCAACAAACCGGACATTGAAGCAACACACAAAGACAATATAAGCCAGAAGAAATAACTTGGTATCCTGATGATAGACAAGTTATAGATCTTTTATATTTCTTGCTGCAAATGATTCTATACCTTCCAGGCAAGAATTTTGTTAACTCTGCCCACTTGTTTCCATATATTTGATGGGCACGAATCAAAGCCAATTCCTCTTCTTGTGTCCAAGCTTCTTTGTTTATCCCAGGATTAAGATGATTGTGCCACCTGGAAAAGAATCGGCAAATAAAGGCTATTATGGAGACGAACTGATGCTAGCTAAGAAGACATTCATTATCACCGTCAGTGATATTGATGATATGTCGTCGGTCAAAACTAGCACAATTCAAAAGGCAAAAAGGAAAAAAAACGAAAATTATCTCAAGCATCAATATTGAAATCATTTAGCAGTGGAGAACTATATTGATAGGCTCCTATCCACCTCACGCATTCTAGAAGGACCTAGAAGAAGAATAACCTACTAATGGGTGGAAAACTAGTCTGTTAGAGAGTAAAAAAGGGAGGGAAAAACAGTTACAAGTAGCTTATAAATTGGGGGGGGGGGGGGGGGGGGGGGGGGGGGGGGGGGGGGGGGGGGGGGGGGGGGGGGGGGGGGGGGGGGGGGGNCAGTAATCTCAAAAGACTGATTGTATTTCCTTTATTTCTGTAATTCATCTTGCAATCAATACAGTTCTATAATTTCTACAATTATTCATCTGTTTCATTGAATACTGAGGTGATTCTTATCATATAGATAAGCATGAAACCACAGAAACCCAGGAGATCCTATGCTTACCTTTCCCGACACTGCTTTCCAATACGTCCAGGAAGATGCTGAGCAATGGAAGACCACTTTTTCGGCCCAAATTTTTTCACCAAATCAATTATTATTTCATCCTCCTGGTCATAAAAGAGTATTAAATCAGGTCCTATATAAGCTATGAAAAGATCATTAAGATCGTTGATACCAAAATAAAATCCAGAAGGAAGCAATAAACAAGATTTTCCTAACCTCTTTCGACCATGGACCTTTGACAAGTTCTGGATTAAGAACTTTCTGCCATCTGTGTAAGCATTGTACATCGGTTCGATTCTTGAAACACTCCGCTACACATAGCATTATCTCATATTTAAAATATTGTCTATGCAAAAAGTATATGAGATGGGCAAAAAAGTATAATGTTCAATAGGTAGCAGATGATCTGAAAGAAAATGCAAACCATGAGCAATCGTGAACGTTATGTCCACCTTCCCCTAACATATTCATGTTTGCATAGACTAAACAGAGAGCATTGACAAGATTGAATAAGACAGTAGGAAGATTGGCAAAACGAAGTTGACAGTGTTCATAGAGACATGGAGAAGGCCAGAGAATGCTCAAACCTATTTCTGTACCAAAAGCAGCAACTAGCAAGTAGAGTTCAATTTGTTTTCCTACCTATCTTTTTCCAGTTTTTCCCTTTCAAACGTTGAACAGCAATTCGCAGTATCTCATCCTGTAAAAATTAAAAATCTATTTTGTTAGGATCGTAAATGAAGCCCCCATTTGACCTCCATTATTCTCCATTAAATTATAATTCATTTTTCTCTCCTCTTATCAACCACACATTCTCCAATAAAATAATATTACAAGTAAATCCAAAAAATTTTCCTTCTTTTTTGACCACATATTCTCCAAAAAATTACTATTCCTCTCGTTATAATGTGGAATAATGGAGGTCAAATGGGCACGAAATAATATTGAAATCTGTATGATGGTCAAAACATGGTCTCCTAATGTAAATCAACATTAAACTCGGAGGTAATAAATCCACAAAGCACTTTCTTTATATTGACCATAAGGAGAATATAGAGGAACCTTCTACCAGAAGGCCAAGCTGAGTCAGATACCAAATTTAGGTGTTGAAGAGAGTGTTTGTAATGTCTACCTGACTAACCTTCAATTCTATGGTATCACTTGAACCCACACACTAAAAATATAAATATTTTACCATAATGAGTACTGGCCAAGCTCATGTTTCAGAAGCCACTTGATAACTGAAAATCAAACTTTTAACAATAGGGGGGAACATTTTGAAAATCATGCAATTTTTCCTTTATGTTTTGGGAAGAGGAAGAGCGTACTAGAACCATTTCACCAGTGGTCAAGTGCCATAATAAAGACACAGCCCGGCACATTTTGTTCTTTGTAAACTCACCCAGGAATTAATCACATGATGTCACAGTTCTCTTTAACTTTGCTCAAATGTGAGCCAGCCACCAAAATTGGTTGAGTTAGAAAACATTCCTTGGCCCAACTCAATACTTAGTTCTATTTACTGTTATACAAGGCAAATGCCCCTTAATATCAGAAATGTTTCTTTGGTGACACTCCCTAATATTAGAATCCAATTCTGTAGACTTCAAGTGCCAAGATCAAAACACTGACTATTTCCTTTGAACATCTTGAAGGAATTAATCATGTGGTATCACTGTTCTCCTAAAATTTTAGCCACCAAATTATAAAGTGGGTTAAATAATCAATATGTAGCCTGGATCAATTTTATCTCTATTTACTGTTACCCAAGGCAAAGATCCCTAATATCAGAAACTTTTCATCTATAACTATCCATGCTATCAGGCGACTGGGGCTATTAACCAGAAGACAATGCTGGCAGTTGGAACACAGTTTATTTTCCACAAGAAATTCTTCAAATTAACATGTCTATAGACAATCTACTCAGCACATCATGTAGTTATCCCAAGAAGATAAATGCATATCTATAGATTCTTAACAAGTTAGCACAATCGAATTCAAAAACTCCTCAGGGAACAGTCATACAGAAATTAATAAGCACCAAATTATAAGAAAATCAAAGTTTTTACCTCTTCCAGAGTCCATTGTCCCTTTGTGGAACGCCTTGTGGGGCCACTTGTCCTCCTGCAGAAAAAGCTGAATAATGTTATACGTCTTTATGGTGGCACAAACTCCATGACAAGATGATTACTGATTTATCAAGCTGCCATTGCAGTTGTGTGGCTATGGATTTTAACTTAATGATCGACAATGTTGAAATTATATGATATTTTTTTGTTCCCAAAAACAAAATCAATTAAGCTAATTTCCAACAATACATTTATAGAAATTTAAAAGCTTTACCCATGTGAAGGTCGAACTCTTTCTACACTTTCTCTGGTAGCATCTGAAGGTGTGTTGCTTCTCCTATCAGTTTCCATATTTGCTTGATAAACAGGAAAATCTGCAAACCTCAATTTTCACAGGTTGGAAACTCTATTCAGATTGTCTTATCCAAATCATCATATACTAACCTCAAATGAGGTAGGAGCTATCATATTCCAGGATAACCTCAAAAGACTAAAAGTCAAGAAGATTGGACAAGACAAAACTCAGGACCTAAGCAAATCAAATATAACTGGGCAAGAAATATTGAAGATTAACATGCACAGTCATAATAGGGGAAATCAGGCTATTACACAGTCAAATTAAGACTGAAACTTGAATAAAGTGAAGGTCAGATATAGCAATACCATAACCTGAAAAACTAAAGGTTACTTTTTTCATCCCAAAAAAATGATATTAGATTGGCCATCAATCCAAATTTACAGACTGCAACTTCTCTATATCAAATTAAAAAGGTCTCAATACGGTTTCAACTTTCAATCTAGAAATACGTGCTATTCCTCACAAACTCAGCAACAAAATTCAAAGCCCCCACAAAATTGAACTTATTGAATTTTGAAAAAATTGCCACAGAAATCAAAAGGATAAATAACACTTCTCGAAATGAGCTTTACATATTTCAAAATTTGTTCTTTTCACCCGAAAATAATATTAAACTGATCTTCCATTGTAAATTCGCCTATTAAAACTTCTGTACCTCAAATTAAAGAATTCCACACTATTCCTCCCCCCACCCACACCCAAAAAAATAATAATAATAACCGACAAAATTCAACGCCCTTAATACTGAACACTTCGATTTTATAAATGCAACAAAAACATAAAAATGGATAGCACTTACCAAATTGAGCTTCAATCCAGCAAGAGTAAATTTTGAAACCCAGGTGACCACTGATACGATCGATTCAACAGGCATTTGCAGATCCAGAAACAATCATATATACACACACTAGAGGATCTGCAAATGCGTAAATTGGAGAAAAAGGCATAGTCAATGTGTCCGTGTTTCAAAGTGAGAATGAGGGTGTGGTTTTAGAGAAAGGATGAGGGTGCGAATTCGGGTGTTTTTAGAGTGAGAAGGGGGAGAAGGCAAACGGTCTACAAGTTCAAATACAGACTACAGAATACGGAGTGTGACAAGTCAAAATGATTTTTTTTGAAAACAAAAAACTATTTTTAAACCCTTGTAGCTAATTTCATTGTCCATTTTTATGAAAAATATTGTTTTGAATAGCGAATTTTTGGAAAATGTGTGATTAAAAATAGGGAAAAATTTAAATTTACGTCTAGAATATTTTATTGTATGAATGTATAGTTAAAATGAGTAAGTAGAAAAAAAAGATTTTTAAAAGAACGAAAGACAAATAGGGGCTTTTTCTAATTAAAAGATTTTTTATAGAAAGTTGATTCAACGTAATTTTCTTTAAAAATTGTTTCGAAATCGGAAGCTCTTTCGAAAATCAATTTTCAAAAAATTTGAAGGTATTTTTCTCATATAATTTTTCTACGAAAAGCAAAAGCAAGTCATGTTAAAAGGGCCTAAAAAATGTTTCTTTTTATGACATTTTTAAAAACTCATTTTTTATTTAATATTTTTTCAATCTTACTTTTTTTAATAAAATAATGATGTATGTGAACTCATAAATTTTCTCTATCTTTTAACCATACAATCTCTAAAACAAATAATTTTAAAAAATCTAAGTTAAATAGACCCAAAATATGAGTAAGCGTAGGGAAAGTGGCTAAACATCTTCAATAAACTTTTTAAATATAAAATTGTCTCTATTATAAAGAATCAAATCTTAAAATTATACTCCAAAATACTTTTTAAAGTTAACGTTCTAATTTAGAGTGTGAATTTGACCCTCCAAATTTAGAAAGTCAAACTCAATGTCTGTAATTAAATGCATTTAAAGATAGAAAAAAATAATAAATATATTTTGGGAATGGTAAAATTAAGTGTTAAATATAAATAGTCTATTGGAATACTTTAAAAAAAAAATTTACTGTCTAAATTTATACATGTCCTCTAAATTGTAGAATATGTTATTTCAAAATCGGGAGTCTCTTGGAGACACGTGCATAGGATGTTAACTCAACAAAGAGCTTAATTTACACATTTTAATTGTTGGATTAAACTACATGTACTACAACATGTACTACATATTTTACTACATGGACAAGTGGCGGCCATGTAGTAAAGCATGTAGTAACCCATGTAGTGCATGTAGCATGGTCCTTAATTGTTAGGCCTCTGTCGAAAGACAAAATTACGTTCTTTGAAGTTTAAAAATTATTAAAACAAAATTACAAAACATTTCATCAAAATATCAAATTAGAGTATGATTTTTATTTTTTATTTTTATTTTTGTCTTTACTTACATTTGTTCTTATTGTAAGGGAAATAATATTTCCTTTTTTACAGTTTTACATTTATTCTTTTTCATTTATTCTCATTGTAAGTGAAATACTACTTCCTTATTTACTGCTTTCATTATTTCCTTATGTAACCACGGTATTCCTCCGTCACAAGTGAGGGAATATTAATAAAATCTTGGAGGTACTGTCCTCCTTTAACCAAAAAAAAAAAAAAAATCTCCAACATTAAAGTCTGACTAATTTATATTCTAATTGTTCATGTTTGTCTTGAAAATGAGAATCTGGTGAACAATTATTAGAATTCAACATTTTGAATTGATATGAATATTTGCACTTCTATATGTTTAGTTATGGGTTACATTTATAGTATTATCACTAAATATCTGCTAAAAGAAATAATCTTACTATCAGCAACTGAAACAAATCAAATACACTTTAATGTAAAACTAATTACACTGTAAGCATAAGGATATACATGAAATAAATCAGTTCTAAATGCAATTTTGTCAGCATCGTTGTCTTATCATAATCCTGTGCCGGCACTTGATTAGTCATCCTTGCAAGGTGCTCGTCTTCCTGGCGAACAAGCAAGCATTAATGATCAATATCAATTGGTTCATGAACCTGTTACATACATGCATGGAGATAAGGAAATTCAAAGTATTATTCTTCCATCTCCTCAACATCTTGCACACATTCCTGGTGATCAAACCAATGTTACTCTATATAATCTTTTGATTCCACATGAGACTGGTATGCAAAGAAATGATCAATATCAACCTATTACACACATAAATGGTGATGTGGGGACAAGTAGATTTGCAGCTTCCACTAGCAATGATGATGGTCATTACTTACCGCAATGTGATTTACCTTCTCCTCCAATAGAATGGCTTGATCTTGATGATATATTACCGCAATGGGATTTACCTTCTCCTCTAATAGAATGGCTTGATTTTGATGATACTTGATGATATATTACGGCAATGGGATTTACCTTCTCCTCCAATAAAATGGGTTGATCTTGATGATATATTACTGCAATTGGATCCTCGTGCATTCGATTTTTCTTTAGGTGACTCGTCCAACATGCAGTTTCAGTCTGAAAATGTTCATGGTATTGGATTGAGTAAATTTGATTGCGAAGTTGCTGGATCTACACTTGAGGACAGAATGTGAAGATTTTCGATCAAGAGAAGAATGTCATTTTTGCAGTTTTCTAAGAGCTTAAACTTCGCTGATCGTGTAATGTTGCGGAAATATTAAATATCTGCTTCAAATTGTTCAATTGGTGTATGGTGTACTTTTATCTAAGCCAATCCATGGATTAATTTTTGTAGTTACTTGAGATAGAAAATTGTTCCTCGCACGCAAATATTAGAGTATTATTTAGTATTTTTCAATATTTGTTTTGAAAGAGTATTTCCAATATTATTAACTGGTAATTTTAATTTCATCATTCCATATATTTTGTTGCTCTCGTGCTATTTTATCCACTTTCAATTCTTTTTCTTACAAATAGTAATGAAATCAAAATGTAATATAAACATGTCTAGTAGAAAAATGATTAGCTATTGGGATTTTGAAGTTAGACTAGCTTGGGGTCCTGCCCAAAATTTTAAGGATAAATCTAAATGTACAAAATGTTTTACCTAATGTTTTACAAACTGGACACTTAGCACCCCCTTGTTGGAGGTGGCAGGCGCCCCTCCAACAAGGGGGCGCCAAGTGTCCAATTTGTAAAAAATTAGGTAAAACATTTTGTAAGTGTAGCATGGTCCAAATTTTAATGGGGGCTCTCAGACTTCAATTCGTCTTAATTAGATTATTAACTTCAATTTAGTTTTATTGTTTCACTGAACTTCAATTTTTGTTTTGTTCTCTTTATTGTATTCTATATTGATTAAAAACTTTTAATTAGACTATACCGCAATAGATTTTTATATAATATATGTGTGACATGTCAACTAACCATTAAGCAACATTACAAGTGCTAAAATTGAGATAAAATGTGATAAGAGTGATAAAATTTGAAATTAAATTGATATTCGGTCATTAAATTGAGACAGATTTAGTATTTTTGACCGAATTGAAATTTTTTCTAAATGTTCAATGATGGATGAATTTTACCCTCGACAATGCGAAATCCAGCCAATGTTGTTTTCTATTTTTCATTTCTTTGATAGATACGAGAATGAACATATTATGCGGAAATCCTATTGGAGGATGATTGGTAATTGAATTTTGAGTGAAATCTCAATTAAGTCAATTAACTTCAATATGTTACGACTGAAATATTAAACTTCAATTCACTTTTAATTTAACCACTCTATTAGTTCAGTTACTAAACTTAACGTTCCAATCCAATGTGTTAAAAGAGGACAAAATCCAAGAAAATGTAGCGCCTAATTCAAAACTTGAAAATATAATGCCACTTGATGATTATGATATAGTGAGGCCTATGTATATCCTTGGTAAGTTCTTGCATGTTCTCATCCACGAATTGTTCACACTCTGCTGGCCATTAGTGTTCAAGCACAAATTGTTAAATGAAAACATAAACAAAATTACAGGGAGATAAAATTCATATGAAAAATGCACACACTTAATAAAATGACTTCAATAATGCATTGAGAAATCTTCTCGAGATATGAAAGTTCTTAGGCAAGGTGAGCATTTGTGATTAACACAACTATCATGAGATCGTAGAAATGTAAAAAGATCCATGACGTATGTAGGGAGAGTATTATTTATAGTGACTATATATAGAACAAAAGGACTCAAGCTAGTAAACTATAGGGGATTCAAGATATTAGGTTATACATTGAAATTACTACAGAGGGGGATTGAGGATAGATTAAACCCCTATTTAGTTCGGTTAAAAAAATTGATTAAAATATAAGTCAATATTAACAATTAATATTACTGCAATTGGATTCTATAAATGGATTTACCTTCTCCTCCAATAGAATGGCTTGATCTTGATAATATATTACTGCAATTGGATCCTCGTGCATTGGATTTCCTTTAGGTGACTCATCGAACATGTAGTTTCAGTCTGAAAATGTTCAAGGTACTGGATTGAGTAAATCTCATGGCTAAGTTGCTAGATCTACACTTGTGGGAGGAATGTGAAGATCTTCGATCAATAGAAGAATGTCATTTTTGCAGTTTTTCTAAGAACTTAAACTTAGCTGATAATGCAATGTTGCGGAAATATTAAATATTAGCTTCAAATTGTTCGGATGATGTAATTTTATTTGAGTCAGTCTATTGATTAATATTTGTAGTGACTTGAGATGGAAAATTACTCCTTGCATGCAAACAATAGAGTGAATAATTTAGTATTTTTCAATATTTTTTTTTTTTAGAAAGAGTATTTTCATGGATATTAGTGTAATTTTAGTTTATTCATCAAGGGTGGTTAATATTTTTTTTTCACTATTAAATAAAGATTTTATAATATATAGATTTATGCTGTATAGTCTTTTTGGGTGATCTATAATTTAACACTCAAATAGAACTTAAATAGTATACAAGTTTTTATTTGGGGTCGTGCCAAATTATCAGTTTTGATGACGGGGTGATTTTTATTTGTGATTACTAAACTTTCAACAAAATTTTAATGGGATTATTAGACTTTTTAATTTGTCTCAATTAGATCATTAACTTTAATTTAGTTTTATTTTGTCACTAAACGTCAATGTTAGTTTTGCTCTCTTACTTTGTTGTATACCATAAGATTAAATTTTTTTAATTGGGCCATACCGCAATAGATTTTGTAGAAATTACACATACTCAGAGTTTTAAAATGCTCAATTCAAAAATTAGATTTGAAAGTTTTTTGTTTAAAAATCAGATAATAATTTAAGCTTTTAATATTATAAAATTAAATTAATCTACTCCCAATACACCCCACACACACTCGCCACCACCCCCAACACACCCACATCATCTTTAAAAAATATTTTCGTTGCTTCCTCATTTTCCACTTTACTCCACCACCCCTCTGGTTATAGGCGCAGACCGGTGACAGATCTCTATGGCTCACTACATCATCGTCAATCTCTATAGATTACGATGCCACCGATCTCTATAGTTCATGACATTGTCGTCGATCTCTGTAGATCATGACGCCGTTGATCTCTATAGATTACGATGCTGTCGATCTCTTGGCTCACCATGTCTCTTCTCCTTGTCAGCCACATGACCGGCCCTTCAATCAGAAGGAGAAATCACCTTAGGTGGGCAAATCGCCATTGTGCGCGGCTCGATTTGAGACAAAATGTGATAAGAGTGATAAAATTTGAAATTCAATTGATATTTAGTCATTAAACTGAGACAAATTTAATTTTTTTTAATCGAGCTGAAATTTTATCCTTGATAGTGTGAAATCCAACCACTGTTGTTTTCTATTTTTCATTTCTTTGATAGATGCGAGATTGAACATATTATCAGGAAATCCTATTGAAGGATGATTTGGTCACTGAATTTTGAGTGAAATCTCAATTAAGTCACTTAACTTTAATACGTTACAATCAAAATATTAAACTTCAATTTATTTTTAATGTTAACCACTTTATAATTAGTTCAGTTACAAATGTTCCAATCCAAAGAGTTAAAAAACGACAACATCCAAGTATATATACTGCCTAATTCAGAACTTGAAAATAAGTGCCACTGGATGATGATTATGATGATAAAGTGAGGCCTATGTATATCCAATTACTATTCTTGTCCCAATCCCCACTCATAAATATTATGTTGGTAAGTTCGGGTATGTTTTGATCCACGAATTGTTCACACTCTGCCGTAGCATTCAGAAACATGTTAAATAAAAATAGAAAAATAATTACAAAGAAATGAAAATCATATGAAAACCACCCACGCTTAGTAAAATAACTTCCATAATGCATTTACAAATCTTATCGAGATATGAAAGTTCATAGGCAGGGGCGGGCCCAGACCATTTGTCTTGTGGGGTCAAAAATGAGAATTCAAAAATATTTAGAACTACATATCATTAACGAAAATAAGTCAATACACTATAACAATTGTAGTCTACGCATTTTCATACCCTGAAAACGTCGTATAAATATATCGTTATCAATATTGTTAAGTACATTGTTTTCAATATATGCAACCAAACTATCACTTAACCATTGATCTCCCATCTGACTACGCAGTCGATTTTTGACAATCTTCATTGCAGAAAATACTTACAAACAATTCTATTTTAAATCACTAAGTTAGACGAACTGACAAAGCCATTACACTTGGTACATAAAATAACGCATGATTTTTCACTTAGATTTAGCATTTTCACCGACCAAAGAAGGTGGTCGATGAATATGACACCCAACCAGCGACCATATAGTGGTCACTGTTCAGCGATCGCTTGACCTTTGGTTGTGGAAACACTTGGCACGATAAATCCTATATTTTTTTCCGTCAATTTTGTTGCGCACGTGATGATTTTGGCCAATTTGAGAATAATGAATTTCAAATCATTGATGAATAGGTAACCATTAGAGTGATCAATGGATTAAATTTTGAACTATGCTACAGTGTTAGAATAATTGACAAAATAGTTAACATAATATTACGTAACATTCTATCATTGACCGTTTAAAACAAAGTCGTCTTTTTCATCAAATCAACTCTCGCCATCTTGAATTCTGACACTACTTTTGGCATGATTCTTCTAGCTATGTGGTTTAAAGCTTACATACATAATAATGGGAAAAAAGAAAAAAAAAAAAAAATGACCCCACATGACCCCATGTGGGTCCACCCCTGTTCATAGGAAAGGTAGGCATTTGTGATTGACACAACTATCTATGGGATCATTGATATGTAAAAAGATCCTTAATGTATGAAGTGTTATTTATAGTCCCTACCTATAAGGGAAAAAATGATACAAGCTAGTAAACAATAGGGGGATTCACGAATGGGGTTATACATTGAAATTACTAGATGGGGATCGAGCATAGACTAAGTCCCTATTTAGTTTAGCTAAAATATTGATAAAGTTTAAATCAATGTCAACAATTAATTTTAATCACATATTCATGGGATTCACAACTTTTCCGCTTCACGTTCTATCAATTTTTATCAAAATCTACTAAAAATTTGATTTTTTATATAAACCAAACATGGGATAAATGTATAATTTAAACGTGCCATTTGAGAAGTTTTTTTTCATATCAAAGACATCTGCTAATGGAAGCTGTGGATTGCAATAAAAAAAATGGCATTGTACAATTTGATCAACTTCTATGAAATTTCAACTAAATAAAATTGTTAAGATACTGGAATTTTATAATTGTACAAAGAGAATTTTAGTTTAGGCCTCCCTCTTTCATTCACCCTTTGTCCCTTTATATAGGCTAATGAGCATGGTCATCTTAATATATAGTGCTCCAATTTATGACTGCATGTCTATTTGAAGGAATTTGATTGTTTGGTGAGTTTGGCTACAACGAGTCAAGTCATGAGGCCTTAATCCAGTGTTCTAAGTCGTCCTGTGATTGGTTTGTTTGGAAGGTGCTGTCATCGCGGGGGAGCACTTCCTCTTTATATCATGATTATGTTTCCATATGACATCCCCCAAAGTCCAACTTCGATCTCTATAGTGGGATACTGGGTTAACATACCTAGTTGACTTGTTTGAACTCTTCGACAGACATGCTCTTTTGACCAAGTCAAGGGAAGCCCTCAACTTATTTGGCTCAATTTTCAGATCGACAACAATAAGTTTCCCCAAGGTCTGAGTTCCATCTTTTGAGAGATCGACAATTGATTCTTTGTTGTCGAATCTATGACTAACACTTCAGAGGTTGGTGGAAGACAACTGCTCTCGTAAATTGTACATGAGCAACACATGTCAGACGATCAGATGTGTCGAATTCACTAGTAATGAAGCTTCTTGAACAAGATTCCTAAAATGGTGTAGTTTTGGAAGGTTTATAAATAATACTCTAATGTTCGCAAGCATGGAACAATTTTCTATCTCAAGTAACTACAAAAATTAATCGATGGATTGGCTCAAATAAAAGTACATCATACACCAATTGAACAATTTGAAGCGGATATTTAATATTTCCACAACATTACATAATCAGCAAAGTTTAAGTTCTTAGAAAACTGCAAAAATGGCATTCTTCTCTTGATCCAAAATCTTCACATTCTATCCTCAAGTGTAGATCCAACAACTTCGCAACCAAATTTACTCAATTCAGTACCATGAACATTTTCGGACTGAAACTGCATGTGGGATGAGTCATCTAAAGGAAAATCCAATCCCCAATGATCCAATTGCAGTAATGTATAATACGATGAAGATCTTCAGTTCTTCTCTTACAACCATTATGATATGATGAAGATGTTGTACCAATATGAATAAGAAATGCACATTTACTTCCTTGGTTAACCCTCTTCCAACTATCAAATCCAACGGTAACCAACGATGAAATATTAGGTGGAACACTATCATTGAGAAAAAAGAAGCAATAAAAACAATATGCTTATGTGTTGAAGGTGAATATTCTAACCAAGGAAACTGATTATACCAACGTTCCTGAAATCGACGTTTCTACTTTCCACATTCTTTACTTTGATAATCCAAAAGTTTTGGTTGATAGGGTCCAGTATTTAGATATGCTCGTCTAATCTAATCGCGTTCATTAAATGAATGTTCAAGTATTTGCTTTCTTTTTCCTGGGTCCCGTTCAATAGAATCAGATGATTCCAAATTAAAATTAGAAGATGAAGGCCGTTCAACTTCAAGAGATAAAATTGGATTTGGAGTGGACGCCTTAGAAATTGGAGTACCCTGATGTTTGTTACTCTTTGAAAAAAAAAAGATAACGTTCTTCCTTTCTTGGAAGAAGATCCATCTTCTTCCATAATAAATCTAAAAGCATAAATATAAAAATACTTCAATATCCTATAAATTTTTATCATTATAATTTAGCATAATCTTTAATACGCCCTTCAAGCATCTTCAGTTCTTCACCAAGACAAAACTAAAAAATTTAGCACAATCTTTAATGGCCTATTCTTGACAATTCACAATTCCAAATTTCTATCATCACAATCCACAGAATCACATCACATGTGAACAAATAAAAATCACAGGATTCACATTCACAGCTAAAGCCTAAATGAGTAATCTGTAACTGTAAATGACTATCACAACTTTAATCCCCAATTTTCACTCAATCACAGATTCACAGTTAAATAAAAATCATTGAATTGGATTAAATCATTCATAAATCGAGCTGTGAGTGAATCCCAACTTCTCCCCAACTTTTATCCCCAATTTATAATCAATTTATAACCAAATTTTATCCCCAATTTATAACCAACTTTTATTCCCGATTTATAAATCATTCATAAATCATTATCATTCCCAATTTATCCCCAAGAAAATCATTCATAAATCATAAATAAAAATCATAAAATAAAAGTGTTTTACTTGAAAATAAAATGATCTGCTGTCTGCTGAGTGATGATTGTTGACTGAGCCGAAGCTGCTGAACTACCGAACTGAAGTCTGAAGCCTAAAGGCTGAAGCGCAGAAGCGGTGAAGAGAAGAAGTTCTAGGTTCGAAATCGAATGCTGAAGCCTGATTCTCCTGACTGGTTGAAGAAGAAGACTTCGAGCTTCGGTCGTTCCCATTCGCTACTTCGCCGGACGGAGGAGGAGGACTGATAAGTTTTGGTTGACAATGAAACCCAGGGGCTGCTCTTCTGATGCTCAAACCGGAGTGAAAGGGTTTGGGAAATGCTGAAGAATTCAGTCATTGGGAATTAGTTGGGTTAAAGGGTTTTCATTTGGGCTAATGGGCTACTTACTAGTACTGGGCTAAACAGGGGCTAAACAGTGGGCAGCTTGGGCTACAACCATTTAACATTAATTTTTAAAACATATGGGCTTGGGCTGCACTGGGCTAAGCCCACCCTTGGATCCGCCCCTGAATGTGTTATCAAGATCACGCCATTCTATTGGAGGAGAAGGTAAATCCAATTGCGGTAATATATTATCAAGATCAAGCCATTCTATTGATTGACTAGGTGAAATTGGCGAAGATTGTCATTGGGCATTAGACGAGTCTCCCAATAGAGAATCTAGTATATTAGGATCCATTGGCGGCAATAAATCAAATCGAGGCGAAAAATAGGGAGTCGTGAAATCCAAGTAAATACCATCATCATTGCTAGTGGAAGATGCAAATCTACTTGTCCCCAAATCACCATTTATTGTGTGTAATACGTTGATTCTGATCATTGCTTTGCATACCAGTCTCAGGTGGAATCAAAGGATTATATAGAGTAACGTTGGTTTGATCACCAGGAATGTTTGCAAGAGGTTGAGCAGATGGAAGAATATAATCACCACAAAAGTATGTAAGTTCTGGAGATGGAAGAATATTACTTTGAATTGCCATATCTCCATGTACGTATGTAACGAGTTCGTGAGCCAACTGATATTGATCATTAATCCTTGTTCGTTGTTCAGGAAGATAAGCACCTTGCAAGGACGTCTGATCAAGTGCCGGCACAGGATTATGATAAGACGATGTTACCGACAAATTTGCATCTGGGTCATGAGTCTCTTGCATTGGGATCGTGTTTATTTGTGTGTCTTGTTCTTTGTTTTTGCTCGATTTTGATGTTCTATTATAAATTCTGCATACACACTTATCCAACTGCCAAAAATATAAAACAAATTCGTGTTTCAAAAATATCAAAATATATTTATTGTTTAATGGGGTTTAGAAAAAAAAAGAACCCTAGAATTATTTATTAGAAACACTAGTGTGTTTCAAGTTCCAAACAACAATAATATGCATGAACTGATTGATTAATGAAAAGTGATAATTAAAAAAAAAAACGTAAGGTTATCAGTTCAAAAGATACCCTAAATTATCAATTAAACCACCCTAGGTTTTCAAGTAATTATCCCAAACAAGAATAAATATATGAACAAATTAATTAATCAATGAATATGAGAATTTTTACGTACCATCTTGTCATCTGGAATTGCATTTGTAGAAGAACATGTGACATCCTTCATTTGATGAATCGTAAACTCATGCATTATCCAGTTAGTCTTTGTTCCTTTATTATTATCAGACTTTCTTTCATAATAGACAAGCACCTTTTTCCTTCCAACTTCTTGGCCATTGCTGTGGAGAATGATGTCGCCTCCCGTGGCTTTCCAGTAACCATCAGCGGCTGTTCGGTCCGGCCGACTACCTTTTTGATACTTCCTAGTTCTAGAAGTAAAAAAGTAGCCCTCGTGTGTTCCATTCATCTCGCTTTCTGATAATCATATTAATAAATTCC